ATTTATTTATTTTTTAAGTATCATTTTTTATACGACAAAATAAAAAAACACGTGTCTAAAATTTTTTTATTACCTAACTGACGGACTAATTAGATTTTTAATTTACATACCCTGTCATCATCCCTATTATTATGTTTTCGACTTACTCACGTAACTGTTTGACGAGAAACTAGTTTAATGATGATGATGATGATCATGAATATGAGCCTCTAGCATAGCTTGAAACTAGTCGAGTTCCTCAAACAGTTATGTGTATAAGCCGAAAACATAATAATTAATTAGGTAGTATGTCTCACGAAACTTCACTTCATCATCATCATAGTATAAAACAAAGTCGCTATCCGCCGTCTGTCTGTCCCTATGTATGCTTAGATCTTTAAAACTACGCAACAGATTTTGATGCGGTTTTTTTTAATAGATAAAGTGATTTTTAAGGCTTTGACTGCCGACAGGAAACGTTGTCCCCCATGGCGTTCAAGGTGTTAAGGAAGGTTTATATGTATAACTAGCTTTTACCCGCGGCTTCGCTCGCGTCACAAAAGAATAAAAAGTAGCCTATGTGACGTATACCGATACACACAGCGCCATCTATACCAATACTTTTGTTTTTCCTCGGAAATATCAATTTTTCCGGGTTAAAAAGTACTCTATTATTTAATCCGGACTTCTAACTTTACGTCTGCAAAAATTCAAAGCAATCGGTTGAGTAGTTACGGCGTGAAGGTGGAACAAACAAACAAACAAACAAACTCACTTTCAGATTTATAATATTAGTAAGGATACATGCATATTGCACCCGTGCGAAGCTGGCGGGTGGCTGGTTTAATATAAATTGATATCTTTGTCTTTTTGTTTTTACTTTATATATCGAAAGTACTCCTTATGGCAAATAGTTTTGCCGCGGGATGATAACGAAATGAATTTATAACATAAATTTTTCACCACCTACGTTATGAGTCCCATATAATAGGGACTCACCTATCGCCATATAACATCACATCCTTACTATAATATTATAAATCGGAAAGTGAGTTTGTTTGTTTGTTTGTTTGTTCCGCTTTCACGCCTTAACTACTAAACCGATTGCTTTGAATTTTTGCAGACGTAAAGTTAGAAGTGCGTATTAAATAATAGGGTACTTTTATCCCGGAAAAATTTTATATTCCCGAGGGAAAACAAAAGTATTGGTATAGATGGCGCTGTGTGTATATGTCACAAGGGCTACTTTTTATCCTTTTGTGACGCGAGCGAAGCCGCGAGTAAAAGCTAGTTATCACATAACATCACGCTTTATTTCCTAACAGAGTAAGTAGTATATTATGTCTATATATATAACAGATGAGTAAAAATTCATTCAGGAACTATATTCGTAATATAGTTATGTATTGACTGAATAAATAGCAATAATTCAATGATGAGTTAACACGCTATATATGCGTATATATGTATGTATATATGTATGGATATGTAATTAACTAATTACGTTAAATTGTTACTTAAGAAACTTTCTTTACATTGTAATGTGGCGCGAGTATTCACTAAAGGGGTAGGCAGAGGTGTTAATATTAAGTCTTTCTCAATTTTTACAGAATTTAGATCACAATTTTAAGCTTTTGTAGCTGATTTTTTACAAATAATATAAGAATTTCGATGGATTGTGGTTTTCAAATGTCTTATTTCATATTTACAGTATTGGGTAAAATTATACCTATATTATATATGAAAAGTTTGTTTGTTTGCCTGTTTGTTTGTTTGAACGCGCTAATCTCCTGAACTACTGGTCCGATTTGAATAATTCTTTTTCTGTTATATATTCCATATGTCAAGGAAGGCTATATGCTATAAAACATCACGCTACGTGTAATAGGATCCCAGCAGACAGGGTGAAACTGCGAGCAAGTTTCGATGGAAAAGGTGCTCAAAATTTCATATATCCATAAAAAATTTAAAATCAGGTGGAACAAAAATGATATTGGCTACTGTGTAATGCAATAGGAAAGGTGAACTTCAGTCCCACCTTCTAGCAATAAAAAAAGTCATCAAACTATTATGCAATTAACAAACAGTTAAAAAAAACGTCAATAACATTAATGACTTAAATGCTGTGAATTACTGTGAATACCTAACTTTGCATGTGTACTGTGTATTTCGCATGATAACACACAGTTACTGTGTATTGTCCACAGTAGCGTGTGTTGACAACACGCACATATTGTGCTGTTTTAAAATGATGTTGTAATTAATATAAAAACTATTGCTTTGCTTAAAAACTTTAGGGAGAAATACCAAATTAATTTAAATTGTATTCTTACCCTTAAGGATCTGGCTGTGACTGAAACTAGTAGAGCTTTTCTCAATTTATTTACGTAAGTAATGTCCAAATACTCAAACGCCACTCTTAAGTCGTGCTTAAGTATAGTTCTGTCTCTACAAATTCTTTGTAAAAAGACAGAGATGGCACGATATTTAAGTACGACTTAAAATTGTTATGAGTCCCATATAATAGGGGGTGAGCCTATTTCCATTTACCGGGCACATTTCCAGACTTCGTGCTACTACTGAGATTTTTTTTTAAAACCCATAAATACTTTGCCCAACCCGGGAATCGAACCTGAGACCCCTTGCCCTGCAATCGCACTTGCGACCACTTGCCCATCAAGGCAGTCTCTTCTCCAGTAATTATTTAGTATTACTGATTGATATATTTCTGTACATGATTTGTGTTACCCTTAAGATTTTTTTATGGAACAACTCGGTAATTGATTATTATTATTGGGAATTCGGGGATTGGGGAGATCGTGGAGTAGTTTAATTGGGTCTCTGGCAATATCACTCACACGACGAAATACAACGCAAGCGTTGTTTCACGTCGGTTTTCTGTGAGGCCGTGGTATCACTCCGGTCGAGCCGGTCCATTCTTAATCCCACACTTAATCGTAATAACTTAAATCAATACCTAAAAAATACTTTACTGAGATGTAAAATCAAACTTCGCCCCATGTTAAAACGTGCAAATATTATTTTAGGAATGCTTATGAAGCTTAGTGATAAAAACATCTAGGCACTAAACAGGCAGGTGTCAGCACTAGTATATAAAAAAATAAGTTACATAATATTACTTTCCAAAATCTTTAGACATTAGCGGACATCCTTTCATAATATATATGAATTGTTTGTGTGACTGTGTATAGACATAGTTTCACTCTAATTGTATGGGATTTGAATGGGAATATTTCTCATGTCTTGATTCATACAGAATTAAGTAAGTTTACTGAAATAAGTTAGAAGTTTTGCTTTGTGTTTGACGCCCAAGTTACTAAAGTTAAGTTCATCACTTAAGGTAGTTTGAACTTGTATGATGATGATAGTATTACGTCGCTTTACAACACTGACATCAAAATGAAACAATGTCATCTTTACAATAAATACATACATCCATACATAACTTCACGCCTGTCTCCCATGAGAGTAGGCAGAGACTAAGGAACGCCAATTACTACGATTCTTACATACCTCTTTCGCTTCATTAACATTAATCAATCTTTTCATGCATGCTCGTCGGTTAAGGGTACTTTTAATTTGGCTTTACAATAAATAGTGACACAATTTCAGAAATTAATTCACTGGCATCAATCTTATGGTCAAAAACAAACGGCACTCAATTTTAAGGCTCTCTATTACGCACTACAAATGCTTTTTCTTTTTAAAAAAACGTTGCCCACACTAGGATTTTCTCCTGTGTCGTGGGTACATTTACAAACATACAAGTTCACATACACAATGACACCCAGACCCGGAAGAACAATCAATGGATCACACAAAAAGTTGTTTCGTGCGGTAATCGAACCCGCGACACGTTGCACGGCAGCCAATTGCCCAGCCACAGCGCCAACCGTGCCGTCAAGTACAAATTTTATGTGACTAATGATATTTTAGTATTCGGGTGTAGGATATATAAACTTTAAACGACTGGCCTTTGAAAATAGTTCACGCAAAGCCTCATGAAATGTATCTTGTAGCAAAAACTTCATATATAGAAAAAACAAATTAAACTCTTTATAATCTGTGAAATGGCTTACACTATCAGAGGTAAAGATAGTGTGAAGACGTACTATGCAAAGAACGTAATGTTCCACAAAGTAACTGACAAATAATTTTGCTGTGGTTATCGCCATGGATATATAAAAAAAATGAGTAAATACTCGAGTACCTAAAGACGAACATTTACTCAATATTTATCCACATAAATGCCCATCTCTATATAGTTTTACAAAAGTGCCTGTGAATAGTGAATTTTGAGTGTGTAATGCCCTTTTATATTGTCCTATTCACTCATTCATATCACTGTTCTACTCATCCAAAACGCAATCTTATATTTTATGGCGTAAAATATGTAAGTAACATTACAATCTCCCAAAACAGTGTTTACCATAAATTCAATTGGCTTTGTTAAAAGTGAATAAGTTATTTCAACCATAGTCAATTGCTAAAGAAAATATGAACAACTTAAAGACAAAAAAGTACTCTACTATCTTCGCGGATCTATCTCAAGCGTTTGCAACACTGAGGAATTCCGTTGAGTAAAAAATCGTTGAAAGATCATCGAGTAATCTCAGTTAATATTCCAACTATATATTTTCAGTAAATTATAGTCTATCGTCATTAATTCATCGGACTTGTTAATAGACGCCTACGTATCAAATTATGATCGAAATATTTCATAGATCGTCTATTGATGAATAAATATGACTAAACCCGCAGAATATGTAAATAACGCAAACTGTTTGAACACTTTCCTTTTTATAATAACTCATAACAAATGAAAAATAATCTTCAAACACCAAAAAAGATTTCTGTAAAGCGTTTGATACAGTTAGTCACAGGATTTTTTTTTGTTGATTAATGTTTATATACTCCCGAAACCAATTCCCTACAGTTGTCATAGTAATTCTCTTCCACACACATATTTAAAATAAAAAAGTCCAATATGGCCGACTCACCTCGTTCAGCAAATCCATCTCCCGAACCAGTCCCAATGTCCTGCAACGCCTGCTCATCACCAACGTCATTCAAACCGAAATTTTGTTCACGAAACACAACATTATCATTGAACCCACCAGGCCCCGCGTGGGAATTCGTCTGCACTGAGTTTACACTTTCTGACGCGTATGGAAACACCACTCGAGGACTCCTCGGCTTCCAACCAGGGTAGTAGCCGTTCCGAACCGATGGAGCGAACGGAGCCACAGGGTACGGGTCAAACCCAAAATTTGGGGCGTAAGTCCGGCCAAAACGACCCTGGTAATAATGAGGATGGTTCGAAAACGGCCTAAATCGAGGCAACGGCTCATAAAACCGCTCATTACCGGACGGCAAATCCTCATTCAACTTCTTTGGCACTTCAGGATCTTCAGGAGATGTGAACTCATAATCTGGTTGATCGTCAAACTTGATTTTTGAGTAACTTTTGTCTTGAGTCAAATCAATTTCACCTTTTCCAAATGGCTGATGGTTTTCATCTTCATCGAGGAACAGCACTCTGGATTGCCTCGCTCTCGTCCTCCGGTACAGGTTCTTCGGCACAAACATGACGTTTTTGTACGGTTTCTGGTAGACTAGGCTGAGCGCCCGGCTCGGCTCGACAGCGCCAACGGACGCCACCAGTAACAGAATAACTTTCCATCTATTTTCGCTAAACATGTTGCATCGGTCAGTGCACTGCGATTTTCACTTTCATTTCTTTTGTTACGAAGGGTGAATTTTGTTTGATTGTTTTTGTTAGGTTTTAGTACATGATTTGTGCGCGTGTTGTTTTTTTTTAAATTTGTTGTTTTGAGTCGAGTTTCATTTCTGTCGTGCGCGGGGCGTGTGGCGCGGGCGGCGTGTAGTACGGGACTGGCTCGGCCGAGCCGCGGCTGTAGCGTGCGCCACTCGTTATATAAAAATGCATGCTTGTGACGTTTCGTTTATGTAATGCCAGTGATTAGTGATAGTACGTTGCTTGGTAACTCTGTTTTGGATACCTGAAAGTGCTACTTTCAGATTTGGTGGTATTGTTTGGTGGGTTTTTGGATTTTAAAAATCATTTTTAATATATTGTCTTTAAAAATTCGTAATGTTTTTATAAGGCTTGGTACACTTTTCGTCAGTGATGTAATAAGTTCCATTTAATGAGGTCACAGATGTAACAGCTGTGCACGATGTCCGGGATTCTTATTGGTTATTTTTGGGTGTGCATTATGGTTGAATGTTTCAATTATTGCATTCACATTCGATTTTGAGTTCACTCTTTGTTACAAATGGTTAAAAAATTTCACGTCTGGTAAAAAGATATATTATAATTATGATACATTGTACTTGAATGTTTTTTTTTTTTAAAATACGTTGCCCCACACTAGGATTTTCTCCTGTGTCCTGGGTGCGTTTACAAACATACAAGTTCACATACACAATGACACCCAGACCCGAAACAACAATTTGTGGATCACACAAAGTGTTGTCCCGTGCGGGAATCGAACCCGCGACACGTTGCACGGCAGCCGGTTGCCCAGCCACCGCACCAACCGTGCAGTCAATGTTTCTGTATATGTTTAATTGATGTAAATACTAGTCTGTATCCCTATTATTTTCTTACTATCAATGTTTATGTTGTTGATATAATAAAATTATACACATGATGCACCATAGTCAGTGTCGGAATAACTTCGCCTACGCACATAAGAGGTTTTCCTCTATGCTTGCAAAGTGGATCTCGCTGTTAAAAAGATTCAGGTTCATCAGAAAATGCTGCCATGAAAACACAGTCTCTGCTGTAACCGTCTACTTCCTTTCCATACATTACTAACTATATTTTTACAACTATATATTTATCACCCCCTATTACATGGGACTCATAACATATGAAAGCCTCCATGCTTTGTATTGTCTTTGGATAAGGTGACACACGTGTCATAAAACAAACGTCAATTGAAATATTCTAGCTACAAATTGAAATATCGTAAAGAATTAATTTTATTTCGATAATATAAGATTGTTATTTTAGTTAATTAATTTAAAGAATTTAAGTGAGGATCGACGGGCTAAAGCAGTGACAATTAATTGTCGATTCTCTATTGTTATAGGTTTGTATTTCGAGGTTGCTTAGTTTATATTTTTTTTATTAAAATATCGTTATTTTATTTAAATAAAACTCTATTGTTATAGATGAATCATATTATTTCATTGCTGTCTCAAATCCTCATCTTATAAATAAATAGTGAAAAGTGGGTGTTACATTGTACAGTGGTATAATGTGCACCTCTGCCTACCCCTTCGGGGATAAAAGGCGTGATAATATGTATGTATGTATTTTTACACAGGCTGCCTTGGTGGCCGAGTGGTCACAAGTGTGACTGCTGGGCAAGGGGTCTCGGGTTCGATTCCCGGGTCGAGCCAAGTATTACTGGGATTTAAAAAAAAAAATCAATACTAGCGCGGAATCTGGATTTGTGCCCGGTATATGGCAATAGTCTCACCCCCTATTACAAGGGACTCATAACATAAATAGTGAAAAGTGAGTGTTACATTGTACAGTGGCATTAACAGTCGTAATGTGCACCTCTGCCTACCTCGTCGGATATAAAAGGCGTGATATTATATATGTATATATTGTTATATGTAATATGTTATGTTAAAATCCTTCTTTTATAACATACAGCTATATATCTGTGGCATATGATTCTTAGCTTTCTATTCAACGGTCCGATGATGTCATCTGTGCTAAACTGTTCCGACTTCAAGTCATTATGTAAATTCGACAAAATCGGAACTCGAAGTGATCTTTATAATATAGTTTTATTATATTTTACATATTAAAAGTCGTCGTCGTGGTGGCCCGGAGGTTAAGACGCCCGCTTCTCATGCATAAGGGTGCGGGTTCGAAACCTACCAACGGCAAGTACCAATGTGACTTTTTCCGAGTTATATGTACTTTCTAAGATTATTTAGACACCACTGACAAACGGTGAAGGAAAACATCGTGAGGAAATCTGGGCTTATAATGTCTAATTATTAGTTTGAAATCGCCAACCCGCAATGAGCAAGCGTGGTGATTAATGCTCAAACCTTCTCCGTGTGAGAAGAGGCTTTGCTCAGCAGTGGGCATTTATAGGCTGTTGATGATGACATGTTAAAATATCATTGTATGTTTCCTTTAGCGATAAACATATTTTGGCTTTTCAGTACCAAACTGTAGAATGGACTATCGCCTGCGGTAATTCTAAAAGACTACGAATTTCAAATCTTCAAGAAAAGCTTGAACAATACTACTTACTGATAAATCTAATGATCCGTCCGCTCGTTGGTCTCATAATCCATATAAAAGTAAACCTACTAACGGCAATTAGCAATACGAACTTTTCCAAGTTATATTTACTTTCTAAGATTATTTAGACATCACTGACAAACGGTGAAGAAAAACATCGTGAGGAAACCTGGACTTATGAATAATTTCAAATTAACAATAACACACAACATCACGCCTTTTATCCCCGAAGGGGTAGGCAGAGGTGCACACAGAAGTAACATCCACTTTTCACTATTTATGTTATGAGTCCCATGTAATAGGGAATGAGCCTATTGCCATACACCGGGAACATTTCCAGACTCCGTGCTACTACTGAGATTTTTTTTAAACCCAGTTATACTTTGCCCGACCCGTGATTCGAACCGGAGACTCCATGGTCGGCAGTCGCACTTGCGACCACACAACCATCGAGGCAGTCTAATTTCTGATTCTGAGAGTCTGTAATTTCAAATTATAAGTTTGAAATCGCCAACCCGCAGTGTGCAAGTATGGTGATTAATGCTCTGCTCAGCAGTGGTTACTTTTAGCTGTTAATGAAAGTATAAGAATCTAAAAACCATTACACCATACCCTCACCACCAGTGGGACAGTTAAAACCTTTTCAAAAGTTAACCACGGCAGTGAAACCTCAACAAGTTAATAGTCAAACTGTGGGAAAAGTTCAAACAAGCAGTTAACAGTAACTTCATGACGAATTGATGAGACGCTTGTTATTTTCAATCTCACTTTGGTTATTTATTTATTACTAGCTTCTGCCCGCGCCTTGGTCCACGTTCTTGGCTTAAAATGTACCCCATGTAGTGTTCTAGACTATAGTCTATCTACATAACATAACATAATATCACGCCTTTTATCTCCGAAGGGGTAGGCAGAGGTGTACATGCCACTGTACAATGTAACACCCACTTTTCACTATTTATGTTATGAGTCCTATGTAATAGGAGGTGAACCTATTGCCATATACCGGGCACAATTCCAGACTCCGTGCTACGTACTGCGTACTAGGTACTGAGAATTTTTAAAAACCCAGTAGGTAATACTTTGCCCGACCCGGGAATCGCAATCAGCAACCTGTTCACTCGGGACTTGAAGACACCCAAGTTATATTTGTTGGGAAACACAGAGTCCGTTGCTGATTCAGATTAGTCCGCAGCTAAATAAAATCCTATATCTTAAAAGATGATACGTGTCCGAATGCTGGTCACAGTTTCGGAACACCAGTATCGACTCAAATTAAAAAGAATTTGAGTATATCTTGGCCAGTAGAAAGGCTTCAAATTTAATCATCTTATAATTTATTATTAGTTATTTATTTCATTTAATTTTACTGGACAACACAAAAAGGTTTTTAATAAATTTTGTTTTATTGTAGTAATGTTTTAGTTCCGTTGTCATGTCGTTAATGTAATCTGTTTATTATAACATATATTATTAAGTACAGTCAAGGGTTGAAATACATGGTGCGGTGAATCCGCAAGGGCGTCCCGGGTCACGGCCACAGGCAGAGGAGGAACACCGCGGTGGTTTTAGCCGGTAAGAGTCCGGCACACCCCCCCGTCGTCCCCACGGCGTGGGAAGTCCATGAGGATTACCATCACGTTATAAAAAAAAAAAAGGGTTGAAATACATCACCCAAACTTTTTAACAATTCGATCACATACGTTGTATTATTGAATACGGTTGGGACAAGCTGTCGACAGCCTCCCAAAACCGCTGCCATTCCTGTTTCTTATTTATCGAATAAGCCGGTAAACGAGCAAACGGATCACCTTGAGGTGTCGGGTGTAAAGGAAACAATAATTAATTAGGATACACGTGTTTAATAGATGAAGTCTAGATTACGACTAATACATTCTTAGATCACTACACTACACCTTCCCCGCAAAATAAAAAAATAAAAAAATGGTTATACAATTATTTTTTTTTTTTTGTTCTTTTTTTTTATGTTATATATTAATTATATTTTAATGATTATAAGACATAGGAATGCATAACATAAGATGATTGATTACATTTCATAATAATCTCTAAAATGATACATGATCTTTATTATAATAACAATACAATACCTCACACATACCATACCATATTAAGGAAGTTCTTACAAAGTACAGTCGACTACATCAATACATTATACACTATAGTAATGAAAGTATATACTTTAACAATAATACGGTCTGGTTCTATTTTTATGAACCACAATTTGCTTTGAATTTTTCTCGATTTTTACATTCGGCGCTATATCCTCTACAACAGTATAAGGTCCAGAGTACAAATTATCTAATTTAGAACAATTTTCATTTTTCAATAACACAAGATCTTCCTTTTTGTAGATAACTGGGTTGATATTTTTATC